TTAGAATTTGGAATTCCCAACCAAGGAGGAGAAATTTGTGATTAAAGTGGCCAGTACGATAAAACGCCAATTTCATATGTAAGGACCTAATATTTGTACTAATTTATATTATCTTGGGATAGTAAATTTCTTAAGTGGTGACCACGGATTGGAAAAAATAAAACCGACTTCAAAAAAAGTTATTCAAGAAATTGCTATTAAAATCGGGCGGAGATTTTCTTTTGGTTATTATTTCGATGATAGGCGCCCGACTGCAATAGCATTTTTTTAATAAATCGCTTTTGATATAAGTATTATTTTTCTCTTTTTTAAGATTTTTTGGGAATGTCATTACTCCTATTACAGCTGGTGAGTTTCTTTCCGTGGTCTTCTTACCAGCCAAAAGACGCCCTGAACGAGTGGAAGGGATAAAAATGTTGAACGATTCCAAAGTACTTTTAAGAAGGCTATTTGGTAAAGATTATTTTGACTTTGACTTTCAGTTTGAAGTCGGTTCTTTTTTAAATTTTTATTTCTTGATTTTTGGTGACATTGATATTTTTTATATCATAGATAACACTAAAACAACTTTTTTGAAAATCATGTCAAAATTGGTTAAGCCAAACGCGAGATATTATGGACAATACATACAACACGTGTTAAAGTGCGATCCTTTTTGTAGTCAGTTAATATGCTTACAACCTTCTCCTAAGTTTTACAAATACTATGCTGAAAAACGCATCAAAATCAGTTCAGCCAGACCCTAGATAATCGCGCACATACATACATACAGGTCAAACTGAGAACCTTCTTTTTTGAAGTCGGTAAAAAACGGGCGTAGGCAGGCTTTCCATAAGACTTGCTGTCGCCGGCAAGCATAAGAACCGCATGGGGATCTAGTGGTGAAGATTTTCGGGGAATGCCTATGTCACGACGATATATCTATCTTATGAAAAAGCAAACTTTAAAGTAATAACCGTTCAGATACTCGATGATGAGTATTTCTTTCTCTTCATAAACAGAATCTTTAAATAGATTAGTAGGGAAATATAAATTAAACTAAATAAATGTAAGTTTCATGTGAAACCATTCAAACCCATAGGTAGGTACTCTTTTTTCTTTTTCTTTAAATATAATTAAAACGTATAAATATTCTATTAACGGATTATTTATACAGACGAAATGACAGTGATTAACGTTTTTACAAGTAAAAAAATTATAAAATAAATTCAACGCCATCTATTAGTGCCCGTGTCAATTAGAACTCGACACGGTGAATCACATGGAACGTCACGTTATATTTAATATCAACAGAGGGCGACAGTGTTCCTTTCTAGACTAAAGAAAATTTCTACACTCTGTAACTGTTTTCCCGCAACTTCTTCGTTTAATAATGGCTTATATGCGCATTTCACATAATTCTGTCAAGTGAATAAAAGTGAATAAATTAATTTCTGCATGTAAAATGAAAATAAAATGAATGGAAGAGGTGAAGATCTCCCGCGTAAATTATAGTCCGTCAGCTATGATGTAACTAAAATACTTGTATGCGATAGATATTTTTAAATCTGTCGGTAGTTTCAGAGCCTATTCGATACAAACAAACAGAAAAAAATTATATGTTTCCTCTTTGATGGGATGAGATTTCCCACCGCACTAATGTATGCTATTCATTAACCTATTACTATACCTACTGCTGAGGCTCAGGCCTTCCCTATAGATAGAATCGAATACAGTGAATGGGAACCCAACAAGCAAGCCCAGTGGGAATTTGTGAGTGTTAACAACTGCATGTGTAGACGGGAATAATATCTTAACGTGTCAACACGGAGGAGATCGAGATAATAAATTTTTGGTCACCCATCTTATGACCGGCCGGTGCGAAAGTTTTTCAATAACCGTATTGCAGACCGAAAGCATTAAACACTGCACTATCAAGCTCCTCGTTATTTCATTCATTAAAATATACTCATTTGATTTTAGCTTGAGAAAGCAAACTGAAACAAGTACTCAACAAGATACAAGGGACTCTGATTTCAAACTAGAAATATAGAAAAAAACTGAGCAAACGTCGACGCCAGTTGGCGTAATTATCTGTCTCGTTCCGAGTCTTTCATTAACTCATCGACACAGTGTAACAGTTATAGATTATATATTTAAAATTTAACATTAACAATTGCTAAAATGTATGTCGCTCGAAGGCTAGTCAAAACAATAAACCCCCCACCTAAGCACTCTCACTTTTTGGGGAAGAGTTTGGTATCCAGGATAGCGATCGCAGAGTTCACTGACAGAGTTGTCAAACTTGATCGCTAGGAAACTTACGGATATCCTTAATTTGACAGATGCACTGGGAACGTATTTAAAAAATAAAAAATTGAAAAGACACCCGACACAATATAGTAAAAAAATGAAAGTAAAAAGCTCAAAAACAAATTTATTAAAGTATGACTTGACATTATGACCTTACATAATTATAGACAACAGCATGTCAGATTATTAGCCTAACGTCTCTGAAGCACATACATAATATGTGTTATAATAATATTACGAAGTCTTCAATGCAATATTACGTAGAAGCCCAGCTTTACTAACTCGCGCGCGTTTTGTGATGGACGACACACACCTAGTGGGCGGAGCGTTATCAAGTGCGGCGACCCCAGCGAGCAGATACGAAGAGCGGTCCCCCAACGCGACATTAAATTTGTTTTTGAGCTTTTTACTCAATTTTTTTTCTATATTGTGTCGGGGTTCTTTTAAATTTTTAATTTAACTGTTAATTTTGTTGCTTTTTTAGAGAGTCCTTCATTTTTGATTAATTTTCTTGCAAGTTGCAATTCAATTAATTTGATTATTATCTTTTTCTAGTTCTTCTTTTAGTTTTTCTACTTTTGTACAAGTATTTCATATATAATTACGTATTTATCTTAGGTATTTCAGATCTAGTATATAAAATGAGACTCAGTTCTATTAAAATAGCAATTAACATTGGTCATCCCCACTTTTACTCCCCCCCCTCTCTTAATTTGAAACAGCTACACTGATTTAAATCCAACTTTGTGTATAATAATATAGTTCAAATAACTTCACGCTTTCGATAGGTAATCTTTACTAATATTCTATAGCTGAAGAGTTTGTTTGTTCGCTTGCTTGAACGCGGTAATCTCAGGAACTACTGATCCGATTTGAAAAATTCTTTCAGTGTTAGATTGTGGTAACCTGATATGTGGCTGTCTGTACCTATTATATAATTTCGTACTTTTATGATGGCGACCATCTTGGATTTGTAATTTGTCATAGTGTACCTATAGTATTCTATTTGATATCTATATTCAGGGAGTCGTGACAAAATATGTAGGTATTCCAACATTTTTGGTGCCGGCCATCTTGGATTTTAAATTTGTCATAGTGTTCAGTATTCTACTACTCAAGCCATATTATTTGATACCCATATTGACGGAATAGTGACAAAATATGTAATCCGACATATGCGGCGGAGGCCATCTTGGATCGATTTTCATCAAACATACTGAAGAACACTCCCAACTAATATACCTTTTAAACAAAAAAAAAAACAAAATCAACATCGATTCATCCGTTCGGCATGTCTGTGTGTATGACAGACACACAGTCATACACACAGACACGTCAAATTTATAACACACCGTCGTTTTTGCGTCGGGGGTTAATAAATACTAACTGTAGAGACTTGAAGTAATCGTTAAATTACGATTTCTATTAATTAGGGACCAAAATTGGTAACATTGCGATCGCTAGCTAGAGAGGCTGCAGTCCCTGGGGTGCGAAAGCCTAACTTAACTTTAGCCTTGATTCTAGGTATAGGATACGCCATCTTAGAGATTGATATTTCATGTTACTACTTTGACATATCTTTCGACGCGTTTGTCGTTATTAAAGTACATTTTGAAGTTATAAAATGATATGAAATATCGATATCGATATATATGTCGTATCCTATAGCGGAGTTAGGCGGCCGCACGCTTGATTTTTTTTTTAAATCTTTGTTGAGAGACTTAGTCGCGGAGCGATTATGTCACCCCTGAAGAGACCCCATATTCCAATCAGTTTAAAGGCCACACGACGTTTCAGATAGGTTTAAAGTAAGTATTTCTGAACATAAAATTAAATCTCAGATGATTCTGGAAACTTTGAAAACAACTCTAAATATATATACCGACCTCTGTAGCCGAGTTGCTTTTATTGTGCATTATTTTTGAGCTTCTGGATTCGATTGTCTCCGGTACCTTGGGCGTCATGGTATTTCCTCCATTTGCTATAAGGTTCGTAATTTGGTATCTAAGCATTAATGCGTGTGGTGTACTAAGGTATCTATTTATTTAGCTTTCCGGCAGCGGCTTCTAGTTTAAAAGAACTCAGCGTATAGACAGCGGGTAGCGACTTTATTATAAACTATGTATTGGAATATATATCATAAGGAAGTGGCTCGAGAAATTAATTAATCGATACGAGAAGGTATATAAGGTAAAAAGAAAAACAAATACACAAAACTGAATTTGCCTCATATTTTACAGGTTCAATACGTTTTTTTATACATAACACATTTAACAATTATGAACAAGTGTAGCTCTATAGTTATACACATACATTTCCATATCAAATTATCTAAACAAAACTCATAATAAAATACTAGATATTTATATATCGTATACAAGATTATTACTCTGAATTGAATCGACAACACTCTTCGTAAACTAAAAAAGTATTTAATTTAAATTTAATAAATAGAAAGATTAAATACAATATAAAATTAATATAACAAGATGTGGCACATTTAACCCTATAATATTTAAAAGCTAAATGGCCAATTGCAACCCAGCCTTACAATTGACATTTATGTAATCATCACATAGTCGTATAATATAGAATATATAAATATATTAAAGTTATTCACTTGTTTTAATAAGTTTGGAAGAAAATAACAAAATAGTTTCATATAACGTAACGTCAGTCATTTTTTTTTAATATGGATTTATAATTAATTAGTTATCCATGGAGGCTTGTCTCTGGAAGAAAAAAAAGATCTCACGTTAAAATTGGTAAAAAAAATACATAAATGTTCATGTTTGTAAATGAAAAGTTCGCACCAAGTTGTATTTAGACTTAATTTAGGAGTCGCATATAAAAAAAAAAAAAACTAAACCAAAAACCCTCCCGTAAACTATCAAGTGGTTTCAGTTTTTTTTTGTTTATTACTAGTGATTTCATTTGTGATTTAACGAGGTGTAAGGTATTCATTGATCGAATTTGTGAATCTACATTAATATGGTAGGTATCATGATCATTAATTGAGCTTTGATTCAAGTCTCAAGAACTATGCTGAAGAACTATAATACTGTTAAGTTTTTTAAATAGTTCATCGGTGTAACGGTGTGCCACACCACCGTTTATTTCGTCCTAGGTATCCGTATGCAAACTTTTTGTCTTTGATATACAACATAATTTCTTTTTATCATTCACCTTTCGTAATTTGAAATTTTGAGTAATCCAATATACTCTTTATGATTGTCAGTTCGTAAAAAATCATCTGGTGTGCACATGATAATATAATCATATAAATTTAAACAAGAAATATGGTAATCTAAAAATATATCTTCGTGAAATATCGTCCAAGTTTTATCTATTACAGAAAACTCGAAACGGGGTAAGTATTTGTTCTATTTAATAATTGTAATTGGGTAATCATAAGAAACTGTTATACAAATTGTTTGTTTGTTACAGTTTTTTTTTCTTCTCTTTTACTACCGTATAATAAAATCAAGTTCTCAAGCTTAGTCAGCCTTTCATTCTTCGCCCAAGCATCGAACTATCACATCAGTATAGGTATATATGTACACCTAACCTGGTGTGAGGGGTTCGATGCTTGGGTAAATGAATGAAAGGCTATATACATTTATAAATATATATATATAGGTATTTTTCACGTAACTTACCATGATCTGCCATAATTTTATTTTTGAAAGTAATTCGTCGTCCAGCATAGGTTTAGCTTCTATGGTCCTTGATGCTGCCATTGGTGTATCTTGGTTTTCCGATCTGAAATATTATTACGAAGTTATGTATTAGTTTTTATGAAAATAAGGATATAAAACGTCAAAATAACACAAAATTTTACGTTTATCCATTTCATAGACCAAGTGACGCCATCTACCGAATATTAATTGATACTCCGAAGAACAATGCTGTTTTTACTTACAGAGATTTTTCAGTAGCCGATTCGTCTTCTGGCATCTCCACCTGGAAGATGGCGCTAAGGTCGTCATTCTTCGTTTGCATTTGGTTCTCACGATTCTGAAATTTAACAGAAAAGTGTAAAGATGGCGTTGTAAGTCTACACAATAAATATTAGTGGCTAAGTACCATTGTAGTGATGATCATAGAAAAAACAACATATTATAATACAATTTTATAGTTTCTTCTATTACTTTTGATGTAAATTTTATAGTGCTATGGTAGAAGAATAAAAGCTTACCTACACTTGTTAGCACCTTGTAACCCTTTATCACTATGATAGGGGCGGCAACCTTTTAAGTCGGGTAAGCAAAGTAAATTTTATTTTTTTCAATTTACAAAAGTTTTTTAATTACCACTGAAAGGTATCAATATTATTCTAACCGTATTTCAGACTTCATTTGAAATAAATGACTTCGTTTCTAACACATAAGCAATTAACGCACCATTTCAGAATTCGAAGCGATGTGACGCAGCATCTTAGTTAGATACCAGTCTGGAGCAGCGATGGGTTGTCGTCCTGATCTCTTTCCGTGGGCTGGATATAAAGACATCAAAATATTAACCGGCTTGAAGGACCGTGAAAAGAATTTTTTATTAAAACTTGTAATGGGTTCGATGCTTGTTGTTGCTTGGAAAGTGAAACGGCTGACTAGGCTTATAGTCTAGATATTTTTTTTGCGAACTTATATTTAGAAAGAGCAAATTGGGTTACTCAAAATTTCAAATTACGAAAAATGAACAATAAAAAAGAAAAATGTTAAAGTTCAAAGACAAAAAGTTTGGATGCCGACACCCAGGACAACATAAACGGTGTGCATACTGCTATTATTTTAGTAAAACTTGTTATCTTGCACAACGCTGTTACGTCATACTGGTTAAATGAAATAAAATCTTTATTACCATTTGAAGTAGTTATTGAATATTTATAGGTATAGCACGTGTAGCATGAAAAACTGGAGAAACTTTTCGAACGCACCATGTCATTTTTCTCCGATCGAGAGCGAGATAATGTATGGGCGCATCCGAAAAAAGTTACATTTAGGTGATTTGGAATTAAAACATCCTCGAGTTTGTTATGCTATGTGTGCTGGTTTGTTATATTTAAACTCACTACTGATAATATAAAACTAATTTTGCTTAAAGCTGAAAATAACAAGAAACTATGACAATACAGTGCTGTTTACGACGATTGATCAAGACTGTTTTTATAACAGAAAGACACTACAGTAGTTTATTTATAAACGCTTCTTTTGTCACTAATATGAAATAATCATTATTTATTCATTTAAGTAGTATGATGGAGATGTAAAATTAACACAAGCTAATAATTATGAGCTAACTTCCTAGACAAGAACGCTTTAGCAATATGGCCGCTTAGGATTAATTGTTATAAATGATGTGGCGAGTTAGACCAGATTAAAATGTTCCATGGTAATCCCATTAACATATTTACAAGATGTTTGAACTTTATATAAGAATTTTCTGTTTATTGTACAGTCTATATCACATCAAGTTAATTTAAAGGGCCAAACTTTTAGTTTCAATCAGCAATTTCTTTATAATAGTCCATAATTTTTGCCTTTTTAAAATTTTTACCTCTAAGGTGTAAACTAACGTTTGGAATTTAGAAGGATAGCCGTAGTTTTTAAATATAGAAATTAGAAAATTAAATGTATTTTAGGCTTGTGATTAAAAATTGGTAAACAATTTTTCAGATTTTTTATCATAGGATTACAAGTTTGTATGGTAAAAAATTTCAAGGTGTTATTACATTTCTAAAGTTCCGGGTTAATTTGAAAATCTACTTTTCTATATCGTCTTGGGTCTGGGGGTTATAATGTCTTAGTTGTTTCAAATATTCATAATCAAAGTGCTTTAAATGCTTAATTTGCGATGTGAGCAACTAAGTAATGTTGTAATACTATTATAGATCGAAACTTATTTTAATTCTTTTTATAATTGACTAGTGAATTCCTTTAGTTTGCAATTTACTAGTCGCCGTCTACTGAATCAAATACTTTCGGTTTTAAAAAGATTATGTTAACATTATCAATATAAGTACAGCCTCAGCATTACACATTCAAAGATCATAAAGCTGTATGAGCGTTAATACACGACTTAAACTGTCTGCGTCTCTATACATTATCCGCGTCAACGCCGTCATTTGTTTTGACTAAAAATAATGACTACGTGCCGTCGTGACTTGTAGTCATTCCTTTGGCAAAGATTATGTTTATGATGCGAAATTAATATTTCGTCGAGGGGTAGAAAGGGGAAGGCAAGGGGGTGAGTATGAGTATGCCAGTGATTCAATTACGCGGTGAAAGCCTTTGCTCTCGATGCCGATAAGCCGTGACAGCGAATCATGTCCTGTTTGATTAACTAACTAGTGTAATTAAATTTCATTGCTAGATTATATATTAAAATGTTTGTATCCTTTCTTTTTACGTATTGAAATAGCTGTAAAAAACTCAGATGAGCTAATATTTCGAATCGTTCTTATCTTATGATTTTGTCAAAATTATAATCTTGCAGAGGCAGTGTCATATCCATCCTTCGTTGTCGGATAAATTATCTAAAACTGTATTTTTTAAGTCATATTAGGGATTCGAATATTGAAGAAATTTCGTTTTCGGAGAAACAGAGTATGCCTTCAGGAATCACGAATTCGTGTCCCTGTACAATAACAGACGTGTTCATCTGTTATTGTACTGGGTGGGGTCAGCCACTATAGCGGGACGCGTACAATAAAACGCAGTACCTCGCGGAAAAGATACATAATTCTATGGCTAGCGATATGCATCGTTTCACTACAACCTTCACTACTTTGGGTTATTGTCCATTTTTTCGTCAACCTTAAGAATAAAGTATTTAAAAGAAAAAAACAACATTTAAAATATTATAATATAAATAATAATCGATATTACACAACATTTCCCAAATGAAATAGCTTAGCACTTTTATTATGGACATTTAAAACAACCTTAACGCCTTTAAGTACCTTAGACAATATCAGAGTTGGCAAACTTTGAAACCAGCATTCGAGTCTCTCGGCTATGAATATCATTGGGGATTAGACCTGTGTCAATCGATCATTTTTCAGAACCCGGGTCGATCATGACCCACCTGCCTAGTGATCGGGTTAGATTGACTCGATTTTTCGATCATTTGGGTCGCAGTTCACTCTGGTCGCACAACAAATGAACTGGGACCCAACTACCCAAGTGATCTGCTATGCTGAGCAGGTTATGCTGCACAATACAAATTTTAAATTATTTTGGCTAATTATTTGAAAAAAATATATACGAAATAATAGATTGGCGGAAAATTTGAAATTTTCGTGTTTTTATTGATTTTTACCGTTTTTAAAACAATATTTCCGATTACTTTAAGTGATTCGCGAAGGCGCGAAAAAGAGTAAGAGCGAACGAAGACGACTAGTAAGTAAACGAAAGAGATAGATTTATCGAATCACCTTCGCAGAAGACTCGATCATTTTGTTTGCGAGCAATCAGTTACACACAGTAACGCTTTTATAATAAAGTGCAATTTGGCTTGCGTAGGTAGCGGGTCAAATAATCGAATCTTTTAAAGAACCGTGATTCGATGACTCGTCTACAGTTTAAGATCGAATCAAAACGAGTTGATAAATCGCGATTGACACAGGTCTTTTGGGGATTATAATTTTACAGCATTGGATATCTATTTCAATCATTTTATATTCAGTAAAATTCGATATGATTGATATTTTACTAATTATCTAGTCATCGTATCTTGAACATATGTCAATATAATGTAGGTATAGTACAAGTTGAACATTCAATAAAGTACAAAGTTACTTCTAACATCATCAAATGTAAGTAGTATTTATGTTATAAGTCGGATTTAAGTTCAATAATTTTTATTACTAGATCTAAGGTTCCGAGGGGGTTAGTGTCCTTCAATATGACTGCGACTGGCCCACCATGACGAGAAAATAAATGAAGATAGAGGGTACGAATGGTAGCCTATTAGTAAGACTCCGGTCTCTGTCTGCGCGTCCATCTGTCTGTCATCATCATCATCATTAATCACCTGCCAATTAATATCCCCATTCCAGGGCTCAAGCCTTCCCTTTGGTTGGAATCGAATGAAGTCTAATAAGAAGGGGCCATGAAGCACCATACGCGCCTTCGTGGATTGGTGGGTATTAACGACTGTAAATGCAGCCGGGCTAACCACTGACCACTGTCTATGGTCAGGTTGTATCTCATGAATCATTATTATAGCTATTTTGATATTTTCACACATGATGTATTTCTGTTGTCGCTGTAACAATAATAATATATTTAAGGGGAGTTCCCATGGATCTGATTTTATAATTATTTATTTATTTATGACACGCCAACAGCATAAACACACAACATTTATTTAAAATGAATCAGTCAGTATCATACTTGATGTGTACACCTTTAGCTCGTAGTAGCTCGGTGGCGTAGTGGATAAGTGCCGCGGCCCGCGATCGTTGTCGTTAAGCAACTTTCGCAAGGGTCGGTCACGGGATGGGTGACCAAAAAATTATTATCTCGAGCTATTCCGTGCTTCGGAAGGCACGTTAAGCCGTTGGTCCCGGCTGAATTTTCAGTCGTTAATACCTTCCAATCCGCATTGGGCCAGCGTGGAAGGGTCATGGCCCATCCTCCTTAACCATCCATAAGGAAGGCCTGAGCCCCTGCAGTGGGGACGTAAAAGGGCTGATGATGATGATGATGATGATGTACACCTTTAACGGGCGTGTATAACATTCACATTTATATGGTACTATCAACTAAAGTTACCCATTAGATTAGAAACTAATAATAATAAAAACAAGTTGTAAGCTCTGATAACACAACGCACACCTCAGTGGTTTTTAGATGTAATCTTAAACTGTTTTTTATGTATATGTTTATGTCATTGATAATAAAAAAAAGATGTAATGTTTATGTTAGTTATGTTTTTTTGTTTATACTTAATTAACTCAAGTTCTGAAGCTTAGTCAGCCTTTTATTCATTTGCCTAGGCATCGAACCCCTCACAATGGTACGTCCTTCGTGTGATGGAGTACTTGGCTAGATTTTTTTTTAATTCTTCTCGTACTTACACTCTTTTTTATCGGGAAAATCGATAAACAGGTGAGTCATTATGTAGTCGAGTCGGCTATATGCAACACTTTCACAATAAAGCAAGTTAACTGAAGTTAAATAAAAAAAGTTTTTATGCCACTCATTCTGTAATATATCACTTTGCTGGGTAAAGGGTTAGTCAAAATCATAAAAATCAAAATCTAACTTATTTATTCAGTCTAGGCTATTACAAGTACTTGTGAAAGTCGAGAGCTACGCCATCGGTTCGTAAATCTACGGTGGGAGACCTTATACCGAGAAGAACCGACAAGAAACTCGGCAAGGGCTGCTTTTTCTTCCTGTTTTATTTCATACAGAGCGTCAAGATTGAAAAATGACTTCATTAAAATATGAAGTCACTATTTTATTGGGCAATATTAATGGATAAATCACTGTATCCAATAGTTTTAAACATTCAACTGTTTTCAATACGGATATAAATAAGTTGATGCTTACAAGTGGTCGTCTAAATATTCCCATGAGTTGTAATAGTATATGTTAGCTATTATCTAGGTGCAGCAATAAGCCATGGGATTAAAATGGAAGTAATATAAACGATAATGGGCTCAAACACCAATAACATGAGAACGTATCGGCACGATGAGTTCGATATAATGTTCAGGCAATTTTATTTATTGTCGGTATTTGCAGTGGCCCTTTGATATTTGTTTTGTTATTTACACTACTGTTTTTTATTAGTTTTAATATTATAAAGAGAATATATTCTGATTAAAATAATACTATTATCGAAAGCAACTTTAGTGTGTTAACGCATGATTGCTTATCAGCGTCCAGTTATATTAATTACTAGCTTTTGAACGATATAGTTTAGTTTTAAGTTTAGAAATGAGAAAATTCTATTAAAACTTTCATCCCCTAATGTATCCCCTTAGGATTCGAATTTCTTAAATCCCATCTTAGTGAGCACCTACGTCCTAAAAAGAACCCGAGTGCAAAATTTGAAACTCCTAGCACTTGTAGTAACGAAGTTTCATACAAACTTTCATCCCCTAATTTAGCCTTTTCGGGGTGGAGATTTCGAAAAACCTCTCTTGGTGTTCCTCTAAGGAATCTTCATTTCAAATTTCACCTTTCTACACTCAGTAGTTTTGGCTGTACGTTGTCTGTCAGTCAGTCACTCAGTAACGCGAAAAATTTATATATAGGTATATAGATTATGTCTGTGTCTTCTTTATGTAAAAAAACTTAACTGAATTTTTAAAAAATCAAAGAATCAAATAGTTTATAACCTAAATAAATATATAGCCAAGATTATATCTCGCAAAAATATTTTCTAAAGTTTTCATTTTTGAAATCATACTGATCAAGTCACGAATAGAAATGTGGGGTTAGATTATCTCAATGGTTTTTAATTTCACATTAATGCTATTCGACTTAGTAATGTGATATAATTAAAAGAGTCACGTAGTCACTGACCGACTTGCCCACGTGAAACACCCATATTCTACGTTTATACGTAATGCAACACATGGAAATCATTGACCAATGATTTAACCATTTACCGATTCTAATACAAAACGTTATTAATTATTCTGAATACCGTCATTATGCAAATTTTTATAATCCTAATGTTTTATCGAACAAACGCAACGTAATAAGTTTTATCAAACGAGCGCAACGCAACGTAATAAATAAAATATTTTTATAAACGGATATTAATTAAAGAGTTGTTCGATAGTGTAGTGGTTAGCGCGCTCGGTTCGCGATACGGTTGTTAAGCAACTTTCGGAATGGCCGCTCACAGGATGGGTGACCAAAAATTTGTTAGGTTTTTGAACTCCTCCGTGCTTCCGAAAGTTGGTCTCCGCTGCATCTACAGTCGTTAATACCAACCAATCCGCAATGGGCAAATCCGCGTGGTGGGCTATGGCCCGTTCTCCCTTAGCAATTGTTGAGCTACAGCACTGCGGATATTTAGGTGATGATAGATTGGAATAACATGACTTTGAAAATTTAACAACTTAATTTCAAAAAAGTATTTAACGATTTGTGCTTTTTATAAAGATAGTCCTCTATGCCGTGAGTTCGAGGCTGATTTGTGTTATATAAATATTTGTTGATAAACTGATTCAGTAACGCCAAAGCATTTTTTTTTTATTATTTTACGAAACCACCTTTATCATCATTTCAGAAATACGAAAAACAGCAAACTCGTTTCGACCCAGGCGTGCTATTCTGTTATAAAAACCGCCTGAAATTTGACGTCGAACCTAACATAGTCATAGCATTGAAATACAATGAAATAAAATCTTCTTTAAAAGATTAAAAACTTTCCTTCTCTTTCATTCTTTCATATCATATTATGATAGCGCTACGCTCAATGTCGAGTTTGAGGCTGATTTTTAACTCAAAAGCATAGCTGCCCGCGTACGATGACGAACGCGAGAGACTCGAGATACGGGTGGGACTTGTAAAACGGGCGAGATACTTGAGAAACTTTCGAAAGACTCTAGAAATAACTGAGAGGCTCGAGAAATGGGCAAGATACTTAGCAAATATATTAGGGACTCGCGAAACAGGCGAGAGAGACTAAACGAAAGTCAGATATTAATTGGCATATCTCACTCTCGACCTATCTCTCGAGATTATCAAGCGTTTCTCAAGTCATACAGGTCATTTAACAATATATAAATGAATAAAAATAACTCACCACCCCAACACGAATGTCCGTAGCTTAAGCACGATCCTGAAAACAAATAATAAAAGTTATATTGAATTCTCCAATCAGTCGATTAATACTGAAAGGTTCACCAAACAAACTCTAATAATAATATTCCTGCGTTTAGTTTTAGATTAATTTATCACGATATTAAAATTACTTGATTATAGCATATTAAAATTACTATTTGTGTTTTCACTAACCTAGAACAAGGCATTTCTTAGTTTGAAATCACACAATAATAGCAGACCTGTAACGTTAAGTAATGCTTTAGTTAGCACTTGCTTAGTTAAACAATGTTTGTCTATGTTTTTGTATGTTTCAATTCCTCTTCATTTTTTTAATGTATGGCATATTTGCCTTTACCCAATTCCGCCTATGACATGTTAGTGGCCTTTATATGCAAAGAGACAATAATAAAAAAATATATTTTAAGATAATAAAATAAGATTTAGATAATAAACAAGAAACAATATATGTGGTCTTATATTTACACGAGCACCCAAGTCGTCACTGTCCATTTATTATATCTTAATTCTAATAAATAAATTCCTTCTTCTTCTTCTTCTTCTTCTTCTTTTTAATTAATGGCGATGCCCTTAATAAATTCCTTGATTCCAACTTCCTTAATCGATTTTATCTTTTGACACATCCGTTAGGGTCAAAGAGTAAATGTATGTGTCACATTACGCGAATGCCTAGCGCTAGGCGCTGGCCGCACAATGCATGTCCTAACTTTATGCGATACATTAGGTAGCTCCTTGTCATTGGTGAAACGCATTTTCACCTTTGATAATGCCAAATTAGGTGCCAGCAAAAACGGACATGAGTCTACGATATTAAGAGGAGGTGTACACCAAAAATGCCCATTTTAAAACTCCTTTTATACAAAGCAAATCATAGTATTTTTAAGGGTTATCACATTCAAAACGTGTATTTATAGAATTTATAAATTCACAATTTTTTCCATTTCTTCTCTAAATTATACTATATTTTGCATAGAATATTCATTAATTGTTGTGTTACTTTGAGACCGAGAGTTTTAGAAACCGATTTGAAAATAATTGTAATGATATATCATAATTAAAAATAGTTTTTGACAAATAATTCGCTATCCGCTGTTTTGATTAGTAGTACAGATTAAAAACTCAAATAAGCTACATTTTAAACATAAAAAAAGAATTTAATATCGTTTATGAAAGAAAATGTCAAAGTAAAAAAAACTGTAGCGTTCCTGTAGGCGACTGGCTGGAAAGCGCCATCCTTGTTGATTAGTTTATGTCATATTTTTATTTTGTTCTTTTACTAATACTCCTTTTTTTTTGCGCTGGCCGGATATAATTGTCGTTTTCTTTGCTTGCTGTGATTTCCTCTGAGATATTACACGGTGGCAACCGCCCAACATTCTAGTCATAGGACACAACATCTCAGCTATATCTATCACCAAAAGACACGTCCAAGTAGTAATATGAATATTTACTTTCATTTTATTATTTGGTCTTGTATTTTGGTGAATTTACGGCTGTTGGTAACACTGCTGTCGAATCCATAACCACCGTACTTCATTATTTCTTCGTCGTAATTTAAGTAATAACAAAGTAGTATAAAATAAACGAAATATCACCATACCATAAACAATATATCGTATCCTATGGCTAGAGTCGCATCTCAGTACATCTGCATCAGATTTTTCATATATGTAGGTACGTGGATTTTTTTTTAAATCATTGTTAGTGTGTGTATTTACAGAACATTACCACATTATTTTAAGTGAGTACATACATTTGACTTGTGTATGTACTCGTGTTTCTAATAAAAAAACTTTTTAACTCTCTAAAAACTTTGTCGAAACAAGACAGGGAACAATAGATTATGTGCCTGTTTTGTAAGATAATGATGGCCGATCAGTCTGTCTTGATCAGTTTCTAATTAAATATCTTAAACCCATTAAAACTCTTTAAGCGAGTGAATGAAGTTGATAATGAAAACTCTAAAGATCATTTTATTGGTCAATTTGTTGATAATATGGTCAATAAGGAACTGTCGCCTAATAATGCACACTGTTTTCAACACCTGGAGTGGTAGAAAATTAACTGGTATATAAATAAATAAATATTTAACAACATCACATACATTGCTCAGATTCCAAGATGAGTAGCTAAAGCCCTTGTATTATGGAGTATCTGAGACAACGAAGGTAACACAACACCCAGACCCGAGTCAATATAGAAAAGATCATTTTCTACATTGACCCGACCGGGAATCGAACCCGGGACCTCAGAGATGGCGACACCTTGAAACCGGCGTGCGAACCACTCGGCTTTTTTGCGTTTTAACCGGCAAAAACAGTGTGCGTTATAAGGCGACAGTATTTTACTACTAATTCAAATTCAAATATTATAAAGAGCTAAAATTTTGATTGTTTGTTTGTTTGCATCGAATAGGCTCTGAAACTACTGGTCCGATTTTTTAAATTCTCTCACCTACTGGAAGTTACATCACATGCGGTGGACATAGGCTATATTTTATCTCGAAAAACAGCATATAAAGGGCTGGATATGGGAGTAGAAGCTTGTATAGGGAATTAAAACTTTTCCATTGTAACTATTGTGTACTACTCATTGTAATTATATTCTTATCATGACATGAAACTTTAACCAAACGAATCGTTAAATTCTAAATTTGGAATATCCCACTAAACAGTTAAACAATCAGTTAACCCTATAAACCACGCGGGTGAAGCCGCTGGTGGAAAGCTAGTTATTGATATTTTTAACTAATAGCTATGCAGACCCTCCTCTCCGCACAATACCCACAAGACTATAATTTTACAAGTATGTTAGCATGTACCTATAATGTACCTTTGATTGAGGCTTTCTATCTGTTAGCTAGAAAGCTGTTAGTGTGGGCAGCAGTTAACTCGGTTAGTCGAGTTAGCTATTCAGCTTACTTCCCTCATTGATTATGAAGGATACCACGAAGTATGTAATGTTACCGGCAATCTTTATAATCCGAGTTGTATCATAACAGCTGGGCAATTCTATTAATGTTTACCTTATAACTGCATCTCTATAGAAACACTAAAACTTACATTTTACAATTGTAGTATCTACTTAAAGTTATAAATAATTAGTGATATATCTTCCTTACGCATCAATGGTGACAATATTGAACTTAAAATAGTTTATATGTATATACTTAAGGTAGATAGTTCAATGGTAAATTTTTTGCAATTAGATATGATTCTATCGAGATTATCACGTAAACGGGAATAGGGATGACGACTGGGTAAAAAAAATGCAATTCTATTTAGTCCGTCAGTCAGATAATAGAAAAATATTAGATACGTATTTTTTTTTACTTCAATTTAACAAGAAAGAGATGTGGGGGCTCGCTACGTCACAGTTGAGTAGAAAACGTACTCTAACGTGACGTCATGCGAAATTTCAACTCAATGTAACGCCGTAATTTTGAATTTATTTGTGCCGCCGTGATTACGAAAAAAATAAAAAAATACGTGTTCAATATTTTTTAACACTCTACCTGACGGACAAACAAACAAATTAGTCATCATCCCTATTGCGCTACTGGGTTTGCTTAGCGGATTTGTAGCATATTGTATCACTTACGATACAAATTATTATATATATATCATCAACAGTACGGCCGCAAATGTCCTTTACTTGAAAAATACCGACTGCATGTTCCAGAATGTAAACCCCGTACCCCAGTTGCTCCACTTTGCCACTTTTTTGATGATCAGTTTTTGGTGTTAAATCCCCTGAACCAAGACTATGTAGACTGATAAATGTATTTGATAACTTGGTTGATATCCACAATGATTCATTTGCAAAAATCAAAGGAACAGTAATCCAAACTTTGGCTTCAGGTTGGCAAAATATCATACAAAGTTTACGTATAGACGGTATTATTATCTGCAACGTGTGACGCATTTTTATATATTGTAATAAATTTATTGTAATTGGTGAATGTAATAAAATGTATAATATCTATTTGTTTGTGCACCGGAACAAACTTTTTTTATTTTTCTTTTTTCATTACGATTAAATACACATTATCATTATCCTTCTTTAATCCATGAAGTGTTTACCCTAACAGTTTTGTTACATTTAATTATGTATTTTAGATGTAATGGAAAATGCTGTATTAATGTATATAAACGCTGGTGAACTCTAACAAATAAATTAAAAAATATATATATATTTCATCTGAAATCGGGTGATTAGGATTATAGCCAGAAAGACCTTAACGTTTTTATAGTGTGTAAGAAACATTTGTCGGTTTTTTAAGTCTATTTTGTAGGCAAAAGAACCGAGAAGACACAACATCGTTAATACTTTCGAATCGATAACAGAATCTTGACAAATAACACTCAGTCTAAAACGAATGGATTAACCACATCGAGTGACTGATCCGCAGTCCTACCTATTTCGATAGAATTCGCTATAAATTACGACAAGACAAATCCTAATAATTCTCAAAAGCGTTGGGTTATTTTAGACGGAGACCTCGTGACAAAAATGTGTAAGAACTTTCGTAAGCTTGATATTGCACGTCACGATTGTGCTATCTGAACAATTTAGTCAACTTTTATTATATTATGGATAAGTTTTTCGCTAATTTTATCTTAAAAAATACCTTTACTATGTGTGTATTGTGTATAATATATACAATATTTTTTGTATTGTACACCGCTTCCAGGTGTTCCAGACCCTGACCGCCATACATTTTTGTCATAACCTCTTACAACCAGTTGCACAAACGTCCATTAAAAATTTAATTAATTAAAAGCAACATTACCCATACAAATCTGAAATTCATTAGAGCTTAAAGACGTCATTAAACCTTAATGGACGTTTGTGCAACCGACCGTTAGACTATTTATAATTAACGAATTGTATTAGGAAATGAAAAAAATGAGAAAAACACGCATTGCAATTATAATGGTATTCCGCTTAAAAATTATTTTGATTTCGATATAATATTATATTACGCATGTTTATTTTGTGTAAGTAAATTCGACAACTTTCTATTTGTAAAAGCCGGTTTTTGAATAGAGAAAAGTACAAAACCGTAACTGATTATTCTATTGAGAATGAAATACTTAAGTTTTTTACTTTTCACATGTCAAAAAATGCTAGTATTGTTAAACTGCTATCAACAGATTATTAAAAAAGCTTAAATTAGAAACGAAAACCTGTTTAAGTACAGTTTGAGACCTTCCTTATTTTAAATTCTCAGTTCAGAAACCGAATATAAGTGAATTTAAAATGTTGCAACTAAAAATATAATGTTATACCTACCTATAAATTGCTTTCTAGAATTTGTAATGTGTTAAAATTATAAAAGAATTTACTTAATTTACTGACTATTGGGGAATCGAAATTGCCTGCGTACATTAATATTAATTAATAAGCTTTTCTGTTAAATAATGTTGAATTTCTCCTAAAAAAATATCAATTGTACAATACCCTAAGATGTATAGTTAACAGCTTAATAATTTACACAAAACTGTATAATTTCTCCATTCGATTGTAGACTTTAATCCGTTGCGAATAGAATACAAAATTATTGTGGTAGTCAGACGTGCTACTGTGGTGTACAATCGGCATTGCATTACCCGCATGTCATTAATGTCCGGCAGGATTCTACTTTATTACTCCGAAGGGAAATTTTCTATGCTTTCATACGATTTATGCCATACCTGTCTTTTATAAAAGCTTGTGTTTGTATGTAATTACAACTGAAGAATACAATACATTTTCGTTGTGAACGATAACAACGGAAATGTGCAGTACAAGCTTTTATCGTAACATCTCCCGCGTGTACTATATAGTCTATGTCAATCATGTATGATATAGCTTCAGTATATGAATTAATTTTTAAAATCAATTTAGTTTTCCTAATGAAAAATGCTTAAAAAATCAAACAAACAATAATATCGTAAATCTTTTAAATATTAGTATAGGTATTATTATGATCAGTGTTGTGAGCTATAAAAGTCTAGATTTACTAATAATACCTTACGACCTATTGATCCCATTTATAGGCATAAAAAATCTAAAGCAAATTGATGTTCACAGAAGAGTAAACATCTAATTAATTAATTTAGTCGGAATAAACTTCTGGCAAAAACGCCATCTTCGCTATGACGTCACGCCCCTTTAGAACTAATATCGTTCTATGAATGCATAAGGTTTAATTCTCTAAGTTATTATGTGAGTAGAGAGGCGTGACGTCACGCGCGTTTTGCGGCCACGTAACGAATATAAAACATTTGCTTTTTCATAATTCAAATTAATTATAATTATAATATTGATTAAATAAGCAATATTATAAATATAAGAAGCATAAAAGTGTCACTATCGGTATATTAAACACCATAAAAATATATATATATATATAATATGTCTACACTCGTCTTATATATGATTTTTACGTTGCAAGTATAATTATAATAATAGATACAATTAATACACAAGCCGAGCCTTGACAATTCAAAGGAGACCTGCAAACTACTAATAAGTAAATGTTATTCTAAGAAGAGAATCGCGTTGTAAAATTTCTCGGGAAAATTATGAATTCATTAATAATGTGAATATCGTATGTCGCGTGCCTGCATGGTGATTGCTGGTAACTGCATATAACAAGCTAGCAGGAATTAAGAAATGAGGTACACTGAATGCAGCATTAGTTGATTAAAAGTGAATTCTATAAATAACGTATTAAGATTTTAATCAATTGTAAGTCTTTTATTTAGTATAACCTAAAAAGCCGATTTCACTTTATACTTTAACTTTAATTATTCCCCTTACTACTAATACTTAATGTACAATTAATAAACGTTTCCCGCTGTCTATGTAGTAGCAAAGTGATCAAATTCGATCAGCCGACTAGCTGAACGTAACGTTCTACATTACTAAAAGTTCGGCCAACTATTATTATTGGTAGGATTAGAAGTTGGTAAAACACAATAAATTGTGTAGAGTATAAAACATAAAAACTTTTGTTACAATCTCAAATCAATACAGATACGACCAAAAAGATATTAATAGTGAAACAGTGAAATTTAAGACGTCCAATCTTAAATTTCGAGGTTTTTTTTTAACAAACAAAAAAGGTAATGAACATTTTTTCGACTTTTAAATCACACGTCTTGTTGAACGGTTCAAATGTCATAAAGATTCGATAAGAAAACTAGGCGTGTAATTGAATTGCATCTATACGTTGGCTGTACAATGGATTTCAATGCGTTTTCATCAAAACATATAGAGTGTTTCAAGAGGTAGATTTATATACTAATACAAGACCATGCGGACGAAGTCGCTGGTGGAAAGTTAGTATATAAATATAATTATGTAAATAAACGTCCAATTTCATTCATGTATATACTACAAATGTGCAATAATATTTACGTTGTGACATAAAACAAATCATGCTCTATCATGCAATATCAAAAATCAACGCAAAAGCGTTTCTTTTCCTTTCAAAAATTACTTCTGTAGTCGAGTGGCCCCGACCCTGTTTCAAAGGTGTAGTCATCTCTGAGATCTCTGTCAGGTCAATGTAGAAAATGAACTTTTCTATATTGTCTCGTATCTAGGTGTCACGGTACCACCGTTGTTTCAGCTTGCCCTAATACCAGTTGTATGATTATATTAAATTACGGATCTGAGCAAAGTTTATGATGTTTCCTTAAATTTGCATGCATTATAGATACGGTATTTTATAACATCATATTTCCAAGCATAATTATCGTTATATATTAATCGTTCAATTGCTTACTTTGATTTACTTAATATCTAAATTGATATTGCCGTACATCTCTCTCTATTATATATATATATATAATTAAAAAGTCAGAGATGGTCATTTGAGGTTATTAACTTTAAAATAAAACTAAGAAGTTACGATTCATATATATTGGTCAACGGCGCATTGGGTGTAAGAAATTCATGTATGCTCATTTACATGGCCATTGACCGAGTTTTCGCTCACAACTTTTAAAGCCAACTACAAGTACCCATACAACAACGCATAGTTTCGGAGACAATAATACAACAACTCAGTTACAATAAGATATATAATGTACATATTAGATTTTAAAAGAACAGACGTAAGATTTTAAATCTGGCAAATATATCAAATTAACTGATAGTATTTTTACATGTCCTTATTTACTCCTACTACAACGACGAGTTCAAATCCTACTTTCCTATAAATGCACGTACAAAGCCTACATTCCTACAAAGGCACTCTATAAGCGCATGCGGTGACGTACCTCCGCGTTGGCTGCGCCAGCCGTTGATTTTCTCAACTAGGCTAGGCTTGCCACCCCGACTGTTAATTCTTTGCTCTGTGGATAAAATAACAAGGTTAGGATATAGGATTTACAGAGACAACACAACACTAGGATATAAAATAACGTTACAACATTAGGAGAGTCACAAATTACATCACATAGGATAGAGATAGAAATAAAATACATTAGGATAAAGATTAGTGTAATCTTTATTTTTTAAATGTATAATAAGATTTATGATTCGTATATTGGATTCACAGAGACAATACAACATTAGGATATAAAATAACGTTACAACATTAGGAGAGATAAAAATAACATTACAAAGGATAGAGATAGAAAAAAAGTCGTTAGGATAAATATTAGTGTAATATACATTTTTTATTGTATAAAAAAATCGGTGAATTTCAAAATTAACTCGATGGATTGTTTTGAAATTATTATGTAATAAAATATTGCATTTAAATATAAGTTAATTTTCAATTTTATCCTAAAGTTTGCACCTATTTTGCCACATTGAAGAGTGGGTAGATTTGTTTGTCATTATTAACAATAACTTTAATGGTAGAAAAGGAAAATCATAATTTTGAATCCAGTTTTATTTTCTGAATTGATATTTAAGCAATATTCTAATATAGAGGTAATCTTATATTATATAAAGGAAAGATTACTTTATACTGAATAGGCTTCGAAACTACTTAACCAGTTTTAAAAATGCAACTTCGAGAAGCTTCATTGATATAGATTATAATTTACATTTAGGAAGTCTCGTGAAAACAGCAGGTATTCTTATGAAGGGCAATTTTATATCTTAAGATAAAAAACACTACTACTAAATTGGACAAAGAATAGAAAAATACTTTTGGTACAATCACTAAAAAGCGGATTAATTGAATATTACCAGTATTGAGAGGATAAAGAATAGAAAACAAAATCCTTTGGGTTATTAACTATAATACATATTAGTCGAATATTACTATAGTATTAATAGATCAAATAATAGAAAAAAAACATCGCTTTGGTTATTGATGATGGGCACAAACACTACAAAACATATCAATTGAATTTCTCATCTCATTATATCGATAACAGCGATTTGTAATCGAATAACTGCTTCTTCAATAATACTGTTTAAAAGAATTAGTAGTACAATTAGTGTAGATTTGGAAAGCACGTAGCCAGATAAGGGTGTACATACACTATAGGATTAAACGTCACAAAGGTGGAAGCATTGGGATACATCGGGTTGTAGTATGCTAATTTTATTTGGTGTGGTTTGGCCTGGCAGTCTACGTCTGTACAATGTTAGGTCCCTAGCCGTCACATCACCTACCTACTTAATAATAAAAATTTGAAATCAGTGTTTCTTTCTTTATAATTAGAAATGTATTATTCAATAAAATAATATTATAAACGCTTTGAAATCTATAATTATAATTTTTTTATTAGTATAAAACTGAAATAAACCTCCTGCTAAAGAAAAATAGTAATGTAGAAAAAGATAATTGTATTTTAGCGCTCAAAAAACATCAATTATAGCATTCTTATAACAGTATTATAGAACACACCGTTCTGACCTACCTCAACACGGTAATGCATTAAAAAAGGTGTAATTACTTTTATAAACGTGTACAATTGTTACATAAACACGTGTTCATGTGACTTACATACATAAATAAAATAAGAGCTAGTCGGACTCGCACACGTAAGCAAGGCACCGGAAACGGAAAAATATCACGCTTGTTGTATGGGAGCTCCCTTCTTCAAAAATTCAACTGTTTGACTATTACTGTTCATGATTTAAAGCCTAGTGACAGACTGACAGACGGTCGGATTAGATAATCTTGGTAATGTCGTCTCGTTTTATGTCTTTGGGTACGGAATCCTAAAAATTATTCTTAATACAAAATGCTTAAAATATCCGCTTGGTCCCTAGCACCCTGAGATGGGAATCGAACCCACTACCTTTCACAATCCGGGCGACTGCTCTAATCACTGCGCTACACAGGACCTAACAGGACTGACGAATCTTTCAAGCACTTGTTACTTTTCGCTACTGCAGAGCGTATTCTCATCAATGTTCAGGCATCTATCCAAACAGCCGAAAGAAATATTGTTACAAATATTGAAACTTTCGATAAAGACAAGAATTTTGTTCAATCAAAATATAGGAATTCTAAATTCACAAACTCTTTCATTGGTTTTGTACAAAGAAATAACGCATGAATGATCTGTGCCCCAATGTATGTGGGTTAATGATGGTGATAGATTTAATTACTGTAATATTTTTAATTTTGTCTAACTTTATATACTTGTTACAGTACAAGATATCTCGCCATGGATTTACTTAGTACTTAGCTGAACTCTTTGCTTGTTAGATTCCTTCATCTCTTTTCATCTACTTTCGGGCATTCCGAGAGAGGAGAGAAAGAGAAAGATGTATAACGAGTGCTCCGTCGACACAAGCGTAATAGGGGTGACGACTAATTTTGTTTGTTTGTTCGTCAGGTAGATTGTTGAATAATATTAAACACGTGTTCTTTTATTTTTTTCGTAATCATTAAATTACGGTAATGCATCGAGTTAAAATGTCACATGACGTTATCTAAGCTATTTCTTATTAAATTGAAGTAAAAAAACACATCAACTATTTTTTCCTGTTATCTTACTGACTAAATTTCTTTTTAAATTCAAGCTAAAAAATACGTATCTAAAATGTTTCTGTTATCTCACTGACTAAATAGATTTTCTATTCTTATACCCAGACGTCATCTCGATTCTTAAATAAAAATGGATGAAATTGTTAAATAACCATGGTCATTCAACTTAATTAAAAATGTCACATATACTTAAGATCTGAACATAGTTCATACGATAATAGTGTCCTGTCAAATGTTTGCACGACATATTAAACCCATTAATGGCCGATATAAAAATGTGCCTACGAAGAAAGTTATGTTGGTGATCTATTAAAAAAAATATTACGTTGAAAACGTTAAGGACTTTGATTAATTTCTTTACTATTAATATTGAAATTGATTTTAGTATAATCATATAGATAGATCGAATATAAAATTCTAATTGATCGATTAAATAAAACGTGTGTATCGAGAAAATCTTATAAAGTATAGTACTTATTGAACTAATAACAATACTTACTGCATTCATAAAAAAATACTACTACTCATCTTCCACGAATATGTCTTGAGGCGGGTGTAGCCGCCGCTGCTGCAGAAAGCCACAAACGGCGAAAATATTCAGGTATAAGTAATACCTATATATTTGAGCCGTTTGGGGTCGAAACGATGGGTCCGTGGGGCCCTGGAGCCCATCGTCTTTATCAAGAGTTAAAAAAGAAAGTTTTTGACAGTTAAGCTATTCAAAGAGGAAACGCTCTCAGCCTTCTGGGTACCTTACCTGTAGGCAATGATTTAGGAGACATTTTTTATTTAGTATAGTTATTATTTTAAGACATAGTTTAGATAAGTAGTTTTAATTTATATTCTATTGTACTTTAATGTGATATTATGTTACTAATAAAAAATACTATATATTTAGAAACATTTGTAATGATAAAATTATTATTGCTAAATGTTTGTGTTATTTTTTATGTAATTACTACGGGTAATTAAATTAAGCAAACAATTAAATCAGTTCTAAATTAAAAAATAAACTCAAACAAGAAGGCATGGTTTCCTTTTATATTATATTTATAGAAAGAATTAACTATAATTTTACTAAACGTGTGAAAAAAATGCTTAAAAAATCCACTTTGTCCTTGCACTCAGAGATGGGACTCGAACCCATGACTTCTCGTAATCCGGGCGACTGCTCTAACCACTGAGCTACCCAGGATCTAATTCAGGACTGACCATTATTTTAAGCACTTTTTTACTATTTCGCTACTACGGAGCGTATTTCCATAGCCGAAAGAATATTTTTACAAATATAAAATTTTAGACAAAGATGATAATTTGCTCTCATTATGATTCATAATGCTATCCTGCACGCGTAGCATGACAAACTCGAGAAACGCTTTGTCTATACTCATTTGTCAGTTTCTCGGGTCGAGAGTGAGATATCGTATGGGCGCACCCGAGAAAAGTGACATTTGAGTGTAGACAAAACGTTCTCGAGTTCGTCATGCTTTCACATTTCACAAAAATCCTCATTTCTTAAGCATTGTTCATTAATAAAAATAATATAATTTCAGTCTAATTCCATTGGACTTACCGGGTTGTTATTATGAAAATAATTTATTGTAATAAAGATCAATATAAATAAAGACAAGAACACTTTTGTTTCTATATAACAATAAGGTAATATTCACCGACTCCTATTATAACGTAACAATTGTTATTTAATTATAAGACCCCTTGATATATTTTTGAACAATAAAATCTTATCGTTACATAGTTATTTTGTAATTCATTATTCAAGTATGAATTGGAATCAATGTTACTGTATTATATATAAATAGATATAATAGTTTATAATTGTATAGATTTATATCGCGTTCCGATTTTCTGAAAAGCTCTTGGACTAATAATAATACAATCAAAGTATTCGTTCCCTTTAATTGAAAATACTTTCACAATTGATTTTGATAATTAATGCAATGACTTTAAAGTTCAATCAAATCAAAATTATTTATTCAGTCGAGGATGTTACAAGCACTTGTGAAAGTCGAGAGCTTCGCCATCGGTTCGTAAATCTACGGCGGACCTTGACCAAGAAGACAAGAAACTTGGTAAGGGCTGGTTTTTTCTCCCTGTTTTATTTCATACAGAGCGTCAAGATTGAAAAAATTACTTCATTAAAATATGAAGTTACTTTCCATTACAACATTAGAAAATATAAAAGTAGCACAGTATTTTCGTCAATCACATGTCTAGTCAAACAAGCTCACCGATAAATTATTAAATATACATAAAATAAGCCATATTTAACACCAAGCAGTTTAGTCAGTTAGAAAATATTCATTTACAGTATATCCTTTACTGAGTAGACAATTCTTAATATGGGTTTTAAATTTAGGCAATGGTAAATTTAAATTTTCCATAGGAATTTTGTTATAGTAGTGTATAACTTGCCCCATAAATGTTGATAGAACCTTCTTTAGCCTGCATGCCGGCAAAATATTGGTTGAAAACAGCATTATGTAGAAATTAGATGTGTTAATTCATATAAGTGGGTGCTTATTATCAAAAGAGTTTAGTTACATACGATTGTTTAACTTTCAGTTAGCAAAAGTGTTAAGTGCATCTTAGTGTGTGTAATGTTTTCTTTATTACTTTATGTGCGTTTTCATTAAACTTAGGAGTCGCTCTGATCTGTTACCTAAATATTTAGGAATCGCTTAATGTGAAAATGCATTTCTCAAATGACTAGCAACTACCTTACAATGTCGAAAGTCTTAACATGCGTTATACTGCGCCTTGTGCTAGGTATTTGAGTAACATGACAGATCACAAATGTGCCAATGGATACAATAAATTTTTTTAAGAAAATAATCTGTTTAGGCTATTCCTAAGATTAGGCTTTTCCTAGTTAAGCTATGCCTTGTTTTAGGTTTGTGAAAACGGATGTTAATTATTTTTTTAAAGATTGGTATATATATCAGCACATTGCACTTTTTCTCCATTACAAGCTGTAACTGCCCTGTATTTTATATACTTCAACGTCCACGCAATTTTTGTAGAACGGATTCCAAAGTCATTGTATTACAGATTTTCATATACTTGAAGCTTGGTATTTTGTTATTTTTAATTTCGATAGTTAGTCTCTGGCTGATCGTAGCTTTAACCTTACACAATTAATACTCTAATTCTTAAAACAAACCTACCAAACAAAACCAAAAACAACCAAACAACACATAGACTCGACATAACATAGAAAAAAATAATTTCCCTATAGACATGACCGGGAATAACCAGGGACTTTGAAGTCAACATGTAAATCCAAAGGTCATCTAATAAGTATAATATAAACATAAATTTAAAATAAAACATGATTTTTAAACAAAAAATATATACATATATAGCAGTAGTAGTTTATCCATTGGGACAGGCGAAGCAAACCATCATAAATACATTACTTATTGGAAAGGCAAACGTATGTCTACATACAGCCATGCTTTTACCAATGTTTCCAAACATTTCTGATTCATTAGGCTTGCGAGCGGAAATTCAATTGTTGATTATTATTTATACTATACTTGTTTGATTTGCGAGAATTAATGATTCTGCTCAGAATATTGTAACAAAATAGTTATTATTTAAGTCACGTAGCTTCCGAAAAAAGTTATGGCTCACAATGAAGTTACGAAACTATTGACATGAAATCATGTAAGACAAAGAAAAACTTGTGACAGTAACCAATAAATTGTCTAAATCAAATGAATGTCACCGTTGTTCGGAAATTAAATCAACCGACTGCAAAAAAAATTCAAGTGAATTGAATATTTATACAATTTTGTGTCTCAAATGGATGGGTCAAGTCATGGCTCGCATGAGAGAGTTCGCTGTTTGTGGAAAACGCTGTCAAGTACCCGAGTTTTTTCCCGCCCGTAGAGGAATACTTCAGAGGTCTCGAATAGGAGATGATTGCCTTTGAATTTATTATAGTATATCACGACAGCTACCCAGACAGTTACCAATGAAGACATTTCAAATGGCATCACATCTAATTAAACCCCATTTCTTAGTGATGACTTAAGCATCCCGAAGACTGTAGGCAGTTGTTTTGCTACTCACTGCGAAATCATACTGTACCACTTTTGGAATCGGCTTTGTTGACTAATTTTGGTATCTTATGGACGACAAGTGTAACATAATGGCTGGGACTTGAGTCAGGTATAAAACCAGAAACATGGTTCACATGTTATGTCGATATGCTGAGCTTAACATGACAGTGGGACCCATTCTGTATTGTTGATCATGACAATATACTTGTTTATTCTCGAAATCACATTAAGGTTTAGAATATTCCACGAGTTTGTTATGTTCATACGGAAACTATCACACACTCGACTCGAGAAGTGTAGACAAAATCTTTCTCTAGTTCGTCATACTATACGAGCTGATAGTCATCTGAAATTAGTCGCTGCCATGGAATTAAATAGAGACACAGCTCGAAGACAGAGATGATCTACGTTTATCTTACTATGATGACCAATAAAGACAATGAGAGAGAGAAAGAGAGAGAAAGATTTCTAGGATTTGTATAATGCTTTAAAAATTATGAAGTAATGTATTCTTTCTTACCTGTCGCGCTCTCTGCGATACACAGTATAAGAAATAGTGTGAGAATAGAAGCGGTGACACCCGGACTACGGCTCCTGCTCGCTGCTCTGTCCATATTTCTGTAGGTTACTGCAACAAAATTATTAAAAATAAATTATATCATTCTTTTACTTACGAAATATAAAAGCTAAATTACTCTAAATGAAAAATTCTTGTAAAATCCACATCCGAACCCATAAACCGTCGATATTCGGATCACTGATTGCGAAGGGTTATGGTTCATGGGTTTTGGTCCCATCTCAGGTATTCTTCATTAGGAATATTTTTCAGCACAAAATTGTTAATGCGAGATTGATCTAATATTTTTTGCCATAACTTTGTTTCTGAGTGAGAACAAATGGATAATGAACCAAAGTATTATGTGAATGTTGAAAGTTAACGATATGTCTCGCTATGCATAGAACTTCTTTATCGTTACGGTTAAGAACGTGTTGTATGAGACGCTATAGTTTGATAACACATACATTTTCTGAGTTCTGTGGCTCGATGTGCTCGAGGTTCGAAAACGTTCGAAGAGTTAGATGGCGCTCTCGGTCTCCGATAAGATCGTTAAGCTACTTTCGCAATGGCCGGTCATAGGATGGGTGACCAAAATTTTTTATCTTTCGGGCATCGGAAGGCACATTAAGCCGTTGGTCCGGCTGCATCTGTAGTCATTAATACCCACCAATCCGCATTTAGTCCGCGTTGTGGGTCATGGCCAATTCTCCCTATTCGATTCCATTCCATCCATAGGGAAGACCAGAGCTCCAGCTGTGGGGACATTAATAAGCTGGTATTGATGATGTGGTTTGATGACCTCACATCATACAACAATACTAAACTTGGTATTAAAGTTAATACTCGTGTCATTTATTTCTTAGGTTTTTTAGGTCACTATTCAACAGCACTCGATGAAAACGCACTTAGATCTTTAGATCCCTATTGTAAAGGCTATAGACTATTCTAAAGGTTCGCAATACAGTCACGGTAAGAATTTGCTTATACGCTTGTTAGCCAAAATCAATAGCGGAAACAAGCAAGTCTTAAGTCAAAACATACCTTAAATGTCTGTTAAAATAATTTTGAACTCATTTGAATAATAATTGGAGTATATTTCAATTCTGTTGTTTATTTCTTTAAGATCATGGGATGTAAATTAATTAATGTAAAACGTGAAAATTTAATTCTTATCTCGATTATATAAGATTCTTTTTCATTAGAATCAGTGAATCCAATCTGGATATTTATCGTTATTTATCAAATTAATTAAATAAAATAAATTACAAGATCGAGGTTCCTGTAAAGGTTTTTGAAATAAAACAATGTTTAAATAAAAAGGATCGGAAAGAAATACATATATTTATATTTATTGCTTACCAAAAAATTGAACCCTACCAAGTGCAATTCGTACTAACGCACGAAAGGTTTCCGTAGAATTATCTATAAAAGACGCAAACAAATCACGTTTGTTTCATGAGAGCGTCCTTAACTATGTTATTCTGTTTTCAGTATTTTCAGGCAGCATCAACAATAAATAATCGGTGAACGTATGGAATTTAAACTATCTAGTTATCACGGTTCATGTTATACAGCCTAGTGACAGACAGTGATAGTTGCGTTTTTAACTTATTGTGCGAAATCCTAAAAACGGCAATAAGTTTATTTTTATTTTACTTTGAAAAATAATAACTTATATTATCGTGAAAAAACATACTATAGTTTGTCATGTGCTCTTTAGAATCTACATCTACTTATAAAAGATAAAAGAATAAAAGTAATTACTTAAGCTAATATTTTTAACAAATAAATACGTATTTAATGAATTAAGAACGACGACGACGACGACAAAGATGTTAATAGTAAAAATACTATTCTTATTTTATTCAAATTCTTGTCTATTGGTTAAAAAGAAGTGTTTAAGTTACGCCATTTTCTCAAGTAATTACTTTTATGTCTTTATAGATACGAGTTTTAGAATCAAGTAGAAATAATGTGATTATATGTATAGTCAGGAAAATGAAACTTTCATTGAAGTACATATATGCATAGAATAATGGTGTATCTTACAGTAAAATAAGACGGAGAACTAAACAACACGTGACAGTTCGTTTAATTAGTTCAAGTAGATAGTTTAACACAGTGGACTTCCGTAATATCGCTCAACAAAGTTAAGTTCCACGTTGTTATGTCATTCTAGACAAACTAATTATAAATTGTTTAGCTAAAAATGGACGATTTCTGTGAATTTTTGAACGACCTCTATTTACCCGACTGCGCGACGCAAAGGAGGGTAATGTGTTTATCAGTCTATGTATGTATGTTTCTATGTGGCGTTCTAGAGACCAAATGCGTAGGCCGATTTTGATGATTCTTACGTCAATCGATTCGTCTTAACCTTGCGAGTGTCACTAAAGACATGACAGTAATCTAAATTCACCACAGCGACAACCAGACGCCATATTGTCAAAAATGAAAAAAAAAATCGATGAACTATGTCAAATGGGGTGTCGTTGAATAGGTATTTTTAAATTATCTTTAGGTTCCTTAAATCATTTTCCATTTAAAATAATAGTTTAGGATATATAGCGATTTAAAGTTGTTTAACAAAACATTATCGGTAATTTTCTTACTTATTGATTTGTTTTTATTTAAAGTATAAACGATACACAAACAAAAACAAACAGTGAAAAAGCATGAAGAACAAATATTTTTGAAAAAAAAAATAAAGCATTTGTAGCTTTGAGCTGAGTTAGGTCTCTAGAGGGACTAATCATCAGTAGTTTAGACCACCGTAAGTTACTTAATAATCCCCACGATATTAACTCCCTCAATGAAATGATTAGATTGCGATATTCCATCTTATAAGTCAACGAATCGTAACTAAAAAGTATAAAATAAAAATAGATAATTTAAAGAAAAACAAAAAACCCGACTGCGTAAAAACGAATTAAAAAAAATACATGAAAAAATTAACTTAAATAAAAATTTAAAAGAAAGAAACAAGCCCAGTAGTTTAGAATTCTGTTAAGTAATACAAACTTTCTTTTAAGTTTTTATTTAAGTTAATTATTCATGTATTTTTTTAAATTCCTTTTTACGAAGTCGGTTTTTTTTTGTTTTTTATCAAAAACCTACGTTATTGATTGCCTTATTTTTTATGCATTTATTGACACGGCAAACTTAATAGGTTTATTTGACTTATTATAACAAGGCATTATTAGAGACATCGAAATAGTTAATAATTAACTAATATATATCGGTTATAGTCAAAATCGATATAATTTTCTTAATTAAAGAAAAAAGCTTGTTAATAAAAAGCTTATGAATGAAATAAGTTCATTCTTAAATGTATGTAATTATTAAGTTTCTCATGTACCAATGTTGTGTGTTGTGTAATAATGTAGGCTGTAACTAAAATAAAGATTTTCTTCAACATTCATGAGATATAAGCACTGTCTCCGCAAGAGATATGCTAATGCATTGTTCTTTAAAGCTAACCGGTGGTACATGTTACGGGATAACAGCGGTTTTTTTTATTGCTTTACTATCTTCCTGCGACTTTTTCCCGAGTAAATTATAACATACATATGTCACCGGCGTATGTGAAATAACTTTTAAAATCAGTTCATTAGTTCTGGAGCCTATTCATTGCAAACAAACAAACAATCAAATCTTTCCTGTTTATAAATGTATAGATTAATTATTAAGGCTAAACCGAACTTACTGATTTTAATTTAATTGTGAACAAAATAATATAGAAAATATAGATTGTAATCAACACTCACAACATGAAATATCTGAAAACTATAGAGGGATATGTCAATCTTACCTAAAATTTGAAGAGATACTCAATTTCAATATCATTTATCAACGATGTTACAAGCATTTATGACTGTCATGCTACGTCATTTGTTTGCAAAGTTCCTACAGTGGGAGACCTTATACCACCAGCCCTTTTACGTCCCCACTGCAGGGGCTCAGGCCTTCCTTATGGATTATTAAGGAGGATGGGCCATGACCCTCCACGCTGGCCCAATGCGGATTGAGGGTGTTAACGACTGCAAATGCAGCCGGGACCAACGGCTAAACGTGCCTTCCGAAGCACGGAGTAGCTCGAGATAATAATTTTTTGGTCACCCATCCCGTGACCGACCCTTGCGAAAGTTGCTTAACGACTACGATCGCGGGCCGCGACGCTTATCCTCTACGCCACCGAGCTACTCTCGGGAGGCCTTATACTAAGTCTGAATAAGTATTTTTTGTATTAAAAATAATTTAGAACTATTCATCTACATGACTATGGGATGAGAGGAATCTAATTAATAAAATAATAAACTGCGTAAAATATCCAGTGTTCAAAGCTTTTTGAAAACGCTATCTCCTTTCACTTAGATTTATTGCACTGATGGTTATCTTTTTTCCATTTTTCCGTCAAGATGCGCCTACGATTGCGGCTTAGTCATAAAGGGTTATAAATAAAGAAAACTACATCAATTTCTGTTGCATTCATTTTAAAATGTTTAAAAATGCATTACATTATCAGTCACTGAAAATTAAATGTTAAGATGCATAACTCAAGTTTCATTTTCGGAAATTATTAAAATATATGTAAATAAGTAAATAATGCGTACCTTGCCGACTTCGTTTTCTTGTTTTATGGGACAAGACACTTTTCCAATTTTCTACTACATAAATAAGAATAGGATGTTATGTTATGCAAAGAGGCAACACATTTTTTTTGGTTAAGAGCTCGGTGGCTAGGGATAAATGGCTGACGCCCGCGATCGTTGTTGTTAAGCAATCTTTGCTAGGGTCGGTCACAGGATGGGTGACCAGAAATTATTATCTCGAGCTATTCCATGCCCCGGAAGCCACGTTAAGCCGTTGGTTCCTGCTGCATTTGCTGTCGTTATTAGGTAATAAAGGAAGATTCCAATCCACATTAGGCCAGCGAGGAGCAGCCCAGGCCCAGTGCGGATGAGGTACTAACGACTGCAGATGCATTTATCAACAACTTTGTGACTTCAGAAGCCCGAGGGTGCCCGAGACATTACATTTTTGGTCACCCATCTT